AGGGAGTTTCTTTTATTTTTTTGCTTTGACTGGTGGGGGTTTGCCTGGTGTGGCTGTAGGACCACTTGTATTATTTTGGTGGCCCTCTGCCACCAAAAGGTCCCGGTGTTGTGAGGCGGCAAGCTTATCGCTTTCGTTGCCTTCCATTCTGCTTGACTCTGGCGCCTTGCATTTTTATATGCATTACCCAGGTCGTAGTGGCCTATTTGCCTGTTAGGGGTTCGAGTTCTGTCTTACCTCGACGACTAGCTGGTCTGAGCTTCCAGCTGTTCCACGTGTCTGCTCACCAGGGATTTGGTTCTTTCCCAGGTCGCCGGGTTCGGGTTCTTGGTAAACTGGAGGAAGTCCCATTTGGTTTCCTCTGAGGCTCGGACTTGGCTGGGTCTTGTGTGGGACTCGAACTGCTTCCTTGTCTCGCCCTCCAGCGGTGTTGCTGTGGCTGTGGACCCGCCTTCGGCTGTATTGGGGAGCACCCATGTCACTCGTCGGTTCTTCAAAGTGGTCTGTGGGAGTCTGAACCTTGTTGTGCTGGTCTGCCCGTCAGGTCAGATCTGGCTTCGGCAGCTGTTCTGGTTCCTTCGGGGACCTCCTTTCCACCGCTCTCACGATCGCTGGGTTCAACCCCCATGGGTATTATTTTGGCTGCTGCGTTGCCAGCTTCCTCTTCAGGTTTTTCAGGGTTCAATGCCTTGGTGCCTACTTGAGCCCTCGCTCGATGTGTTCACGGACGCTTCATTTCTCGGCTGGGGCTTTGTGACCAGCGCTCACCAGGCCGGCCAGGGGCGGTGGGGTCCGTCCTTCCGTAGAGCCCACAGCACGCTGTGGGAGTTCACGGCGGTGTGGGTTGTGCTTCTTAGGGTTTGGGTCCCCTGCGGATCAACGATCTGGCTCCACTCAAACTGCTCCCCAGTGGTTCATTGCCTGAACCGAGGGGGTCGATGCGGTCCTTGGCTCTTTGGCGCTGGTCGATGCGGTCCTTGGCTCTTTGGCGCTGGTCGCTTCGGGTAACTCGTCAGCTGGGTTCTCGGGTTTGGCTCTCTTGGCTGTTCATGTGCGGTGTCCAATGTCTTGACCGACGGCCTGTCTCGTTTCATTCCCCTCTCCACGGAATAGACGGTCGACACCGACAACTTCCGTTGGCTCTGCCAGATGTTCGGGCGTCCTTTTCGCCCGAAGGTTGACCTCTTCGCATCGGCGTGGTCGCAGTGCCTACCCCAGTATGTGGTGTCCTTTCCCGATTGCGAGGCCGTCGGGGTCGATGCCTTTCGGCAGGACTGATCAAGGTGGGGATTCCTGTTCCTCTTTCCCTCGGTTCAGCTGTTGCTCCAGATCCTGACTCGCTTGGAGACCTACCAGGGAAGAGTAGTCCTCTTGGCCCTGTGGTGGCCGGCCCAACCTTGGTTTCAGGCGCTCCTTGCCCGGTGTCTGAACCCGGAGATTTTCCCGCGGCTCTGCCTCTTCCAACAGATCGGCCCAATGCGTCACGTGGCTGGTTCAATCTTCTCCTCGAGTCTTCGCGTATGGTCTCTTTGGCTCGGGTTTATCATCATTTTTATGGTGATCAGGTGGCTTCTTTGTTGGTGTCCCACCTGCAGGCTTTGTCTCGGCGGCAGTATGAAGTCTCCTGGCGGTCCTTCTGGTTCTTTTTACGTCTTCGTCGTTGTGCTTTGCTTTCTGTTCGAGTGGTGTTGTCCATTCTCTCTTGGTTGTTCCAGGACCGTCACCTTATGCCTAACACTGTCGCCTCATATCGTGTGGTGCTGGTAGAACTGCTTCAGCTTGCTTTTGGTATTGATGTTACTTCTGCGCCATTTCGCAAGCTGTCTCGTGCATAGTTTCACCTCCGGCCTGCTCATGCACCACCTGAGCTGTCCTGGTCTTTGGACAGAGTGCTCTCTTTTCTTTCTTCTCCTCGGTTTGTTGTGGCCCCTTCGGTTCAGGATTGTTTCTCCATGGCCCTTTTTCTGTTGGCATTGGCCTCTGGGGTTCGGGCTGGGGAACTTCATGCTCTCCTTCGGTCTTCATGATGGTTTTGTTCGTTTGCAGCCGTCTCCTCCTTTTCCGGCGAAGAATGAGACTGCTGCTTTCCGGAGGGGTCCCTGGGTTGTTGATGCTTGGTTGGTCAGGCCGGGGCTGCATCGTGTTTTGTGTCCGGTTGCGGCTCTTCGCTATTATTTGTGTGCCACGACTTCTGTGTCCGGGGACCCGCTTTGGGTTGATCCGGTTTCCCTTCTTCCCATTTCGCGGATGCGGGTCTCCCAGGTTGTCTGCAGAGTTATTAAGGCTAGCCAGCCTGCGGTCTATTCCTGTGCCTATGACATTCGTGAGTTCGCTGCTCTTGCTGCCGTCTTTGGCAACATGTCCTGGGCTGACATTTGGGCATGGGGCTTTTGGCGGTCGAACAAGGTCCTGGCTGCTCGTTACCTAGTGAACATCCCTGAGCCTCGTCGGGCCTGTGTCGCTTTGGGTTGGCAGTTGCAGCCAGTTGTCTTGGCTTCGACTTGAGGAGTGAGCAGCGACCGCCTCCCGGGTAAGTCCCTATGTTTTTCCTCTGTGGGCAGTTAGCTCTATGGTGCCAAAGGGGCTCCTCCCAGAAAACCAGCATTGAATGTAATGAAACGCCATTTTCTGGGTGAGACCCGGAGGCTTCCCGGCATCCCTCCCTCCCTTTGGTCAGCCGTTTTTCGCGTGTTTTCATGTCCAGCCTCAGAACTGATGGGTGGATAGCCGGCGTGGGGGATCTGGGGCTCCCCTTCCCCCTCCCGGGGAGGGGGGAGCTGCGCAGACAGCGGCGCAGCGACGTGTGACGTTATGCTCATTTGCTCGTTTCTTTTAGGGGGAGTTCTATCCACTTGTTCAGCTTTTAGTAGCAATATTTTCACCAGAATAGGGGTTTGTTTTGGGATGCTTAACTTTCTGTGTGCCTGACCAGGTCGATGGCAGACATAGAATGCTTCCAACCACACGGGGGTTTCTATAGGCCATTGCTCCCCATGCCTCTCTGAGGGGGGGCCAGGTTCTGGCTCATGGTCCCCGGTAGGCCCATAGAACTCCATACACATGACTGATGCTAAAGTCTGACATTAACATATCAGCCTAGTAAGCTCTGGGGAGCCTCCGGGTCTCATCCAGAAAATGGCATTTCATTACATTCAACTGTTTTTTTTTTTTTTTTTTGTTGGCATTGGGCCCTGGAGGTCAGGTCGGGGAACTTCATGCTATCCTCCGGTGCAGGGATCTAGCTCTTTCAATTCTGGTGGTCGGTTTGTTCAATTGCAGCCGTCTCCTTTCTGGCAAAGAAAGAGACTGCTGCTTTTAGGAGGGGTCCTTGGGTTGTTGATGCTTGGTTGGTTCGGCGTGGGATGCATCATGTTTTGTCTCTGGCTGCGACATTCACTGTTACTTGCACGCCACAGCCTCCATAGCAGTATATGTGCATTGGGTTGGCCCAGTTTCCCTTCTTCCCTGTTCTAGGGCATGGAACTACCAGGTCATCCGGTGGATTATTCTGTCCAGCCAGCCTGCGGTCTATCCCGTGCCCACGACGTTCATAAGTTTATGGCTTTGGCTGCAGCTTTAGGCAATATGTCCTGGGCTGACATTCAGGCAGTGTCCTGGCCACACATTACCTCGTTAATGTTCCTGGCCCTTCTCAGGCATGCATAGCCTTGGGTCGCAGGTTGCAGCCAGTTGTCTTGACTTCAAGTTGAGGAGCGAGTGGCAGCCACTTCCTGGGCGAGTCCCTCTTTTCCTTTATCTTTGGCTAGGTCGCTCAGGGGAACCAGAGGGGGGCCTTCCACAGAAAACCAGCGTTGAATGTAATGAAACACCATTTTCTGGATGAGGCCCAGAGGCTCCCCGGCATCCCTCCCTCCATCTCTCCCTCTGGTCGGCGGTTTTTCACGTTTTTTATATTCAGCCTCTGAACTGGGGTTGAGTAGCCAGCGTGGAAGGTCTGGGGGGTCCCCTTTTTCCCCTCCCGGGATGGGGGGGAGCTGCACAACGGCGCGGCGACTGTGGTGACATCATGTTTGTTTGCTTGTTTTCTGATTGGGAAGTTCTGCTTGCTTGTTCGGCTTTCGGTTTGCAATATTTAACCAGCTGTAGTTTGTTTTGGGATTCCTACTTTTCTGGGTGCCTGACCTGGTAGATGGCAGACATAGACGGCTTCCAACAACATGTGTGTCAATTGGCCATTACTCCTCATGTCTCTCTGAGGGGGGCCAGGTTCTGGCTCATGGTCCCCAGTAGGCTAGAACTCCATCGATTGACTGTTGCCATGGTCTAATATATACACATATCAGCCAGTATAGCTCCGCGAAGCCTCCAGGTCTCGTCCAGAAAATGGCGTTTCATTACATACAACGCTGGTTTTTTATTTTACTATTCAGAACCCAAGAATAGTAAAAATAGGATTATCTGCTGGAAATTACTTTACTTGGAAGAAATGCTGTTGGAGTTTCACTGCAGTCTGATTTGGTTTATTATTTAGAAGAAACTGATATATAGAAGCCATAATTTGGGAGATTGCACTATAGAGAATATAATTGTATGCACGCACACTGTTCCTAAGCTTATTTAAATTTAACATTGGTAGAGTTTTAACCACCGTGTTGTGCCGAGTTTATTGTGAAATTCCCCCTGTGCGCATGAAATAGTGTTCCCCAAAAATTCTTTATTCTTCGTAAAATTATAAAATCCCTTCCCTGAACGGCTGGTGCAGTTAAGTGGTTAATACTAAGTGCATTACAGATATCTTTGTGAACATAAGCTTCAGCCTTGTATAGAGTAATTTGTGCATGTTAAATTATTAAAGAACTACAGTACCATGCCATAGAATAGTATCGCTCGGAAAATATTTATTATAGTTATTTTACATGTTGAAGACATTATATTTTAGGAATATGAGAGTTAAAGAAGTTGCAAGGCCTTCCATGATTAATAAGAAATGCAAATATTTTAATAATCAAATATTGAAGAAATGCTAATTTATCTTTCAGGATATTCTGATGTTGGATATGTACCTTGCACCTCACCTAAACACACTCTACACACGCATTAGGAACCGTGCGCTTATCCAGTATTTCAGGTGAGCCTAACATGAGCATTTTTTTTCTATATTATCCAATCTTTCTTCTTTTTTTCTCATCATCTAATAACTGAACATAATGGGAAATGCATTTATGTGGGAAGAAATGGCAAATTTAAGTCTCAAACAACAAGATATAATAGTGCATCGTGATATCTTCTTGGGGGAGTAGAAGAACTCCCAGAACTCCATCAACCAGGTATCAACCAGGATATGAAGCACACATTTTTGAGTGCCCACTTGGTTGATCCCTAAGCCAGGGTTACCCTGGAACACTGCCAAGTTGCCAGACTTTCATCACTTTTCGTCCCACAAATGACAATTAACTTCACAATCTTGCTACTTATTGGGGAGGGGAGATGGAGATTTCTCTCAGTATTCTACCACAGCAACCATCCTCTGATACAAAATGGCAGAAACAAACCACTCGACACCCCTTCAAAAAATAATTGGAATCACCAGGAGAGTCACTGAACATTCTGCTTGATACCTGTTTGATGAGGTTCTGGGAGTTCTTCTACTCCGCAAGCCCAGCCCGAGGCCAGGCTCAACTTGTGAGTCAAGCCTTGCGAGACTTGAGAGTTTGGTCCGCCAGGCTGTTGCTTGCAACGGCCTGCAGGCCCACGTACCCTCTACAGCCCAGTTGGTCCAGCACTCCTTGGAGAAAGTGATCTAGTTTTCTCTTGAAGATGTCCACAGTTGTTCCAGCAATATTTCTTATGCTCGCTGGGAGGATGTTGAACAACCGTGGACCTCTGATGTTGTACAGTGTTCTCTGATTGTGGCTATGGCACCCCTCCTCTTCACTGGTTCTATTCTGCATTTTCTTCCATATCATTCACTCCACTATGTTATTTTACTGTATAGATTTGGTACCTGGCCCTCCAGTATCTTCCACATGTGTATTATTTGATATCTCTCCTGTCTTCTTTCTAGTGAGTACATTTGGAGAGCTTTGAGACGATACCAATAATTTAGGTGCTTTATTGCATCTATGTATGCTGTATATGTTCTCTGTATTCCCTCTATTTCAGCAATCTCTTTTGCACTGAAGGGGGAAGTGAGTGCTGAGCAGTACTCAAGATGGGACAGTACAAGTGATTTGTATAGTTCAACCATTGTGATGGGATCCCTGGTTTGAAAGTTCTCGTAATCCATCCGATCAGTTTTCTGGCTGATGCAATATTTGCTTGGTTATGCTCCCTAAACGTTAGGTTGTCAGACATCATTGTTCCCAAATTCTTTACATGCTGCTTTTGTACTATGGGCACATTTGATTGTGTTTTGTATCCTGTATTATGTTTAAGGTCCTTATTTTTGCTGTACCTGAGTACCTGGAATTTATCACTGTTAAACATCATGTTATTTTCTGTTGCCTAGTCGAAAACTTTATTAATATCTGCTTGAAGTTTTTCAATGTCTTCAGCAGAGGTAATTTTCATGCTGATCTTTGTCTTATCTGTGAAGGATGATACCAAGCTGTGACTTGTATTTTTGTCTATATCTGATATGAGAATAAGGAAAAGCAGCGGTGTAAGGACTGTACCTTGAGGTACAGAGCTTTTAACTGCGCTTGGACTCGATTTTATATGAGTGACTGTTACTCGTTGTGTCCTATTCGACAGAAAACTGAGTATCCAGTGTCCTACTTTACCAGTTATTCCCATTGACCTCATTTTGTGTGCTATCACTCCATGGTCACATTTATCGAATGCCTTTGCAAAGTCTGTATATACCACATCTGCATTCTGTTTTTCTTCTTCTAATGCCTCAGTGACTTTCTCGTAGTGATAAAGTAGCTGTGAGAGGCACGATCTTCCCGCTCGAAATCCTGTTGGCCTAGGTTGTGAAGGACATTGGTCTCCTTGAAACTGGTGACCCGACTCCTAATCACTCTCTCAAATATTTTTATTATGTGGGACGTTAGTGCAACTGGTCTATAATTCTTTGCCAATGCTTTGCTCCTTCCCTTGTGTAGAGGGGCTATGTCTGCTTCTTTAAGTTCATCTGGTATTTCCCCCATATCTAAACTCTTCCTCCACACTATACTGAGTGCCTGTGCTACCGGCACTTTGCATTTCTTTGTAAATATTGAATTCCATGTATCTGGACCTGGAGCTGAGTGTATGGGCATGTTTTCAATTTCTTTCAAAATCTAGTATGCTCGTGTTGATATCAGTTATATTTACAGGGATTTGGATATCAAGCATAAAGATGATGTCCGGATCTTCCACTTTCATGCTGTTTATTGGAGTGTTAAACATGTCCTCGTACTGCTTTTTTTAGGATTTCACTAATTTCTTTGTCATTCTCTGTGTATGAACATTCACCCGTACAAATAGGTCCGATACTGGCAGTGGTTTTTACTTTTGATTTCGCATATGTGAAGAAGTATTTTGAATTTTTCTTAATTTCCTGTATTGCTTTCTGTTCTGCCATTCTTCAGTCTGATATAAGTGTTTCAATTTCTTCAATCTCCCTATTTAAATTATTCCTTCTTTGCAGGGAAAGTCGTGTCTGCTTAACCCTTTAACTGCGCGGCCTATAAATATGACATCCCCCCCAGTGCACAGGAAATGAAACCTTGGGAAAAAATTATTTTTTCTTTGGAAAGTGTCAAAAACCCCTCCCTGTATATGGGTATAGCAACATAAGTTCGAAATTGTACTTACTTTGGCTGCTATGGGGTCCGAAAGGTGGGCCGTGACGTCATAATATCTCGTGCGCCAGAGCAGTATGCTCCCGGGGCCGGTGGGGCACGCGAGTTGCTGCGAATATATTTTTGCACATTTTTTGCGCATAGTTCCAAGTACATTTTATTTGTTTTTACATGCTAATCCTATGTATAATGAACACGTACACTATATTATGGCAGTAAAACAGCTGTACTGTCCCAAGACACTGTGTTGCGTGCATGACACTTGTGTACACATATGTTGCACATATTTACCATGTATCATGCTAATTTACGTATATATACAATCTATTTACGGACTATACACTGTCACACACTATATACATTCACCATCAACACACTCAGAACACCGCGAGTGTGAGCAGCCACACCCAGCCAGCCCTCCCTCACTCCAACATCTTACTCGCCAACATTGCTCCTTCCACCATACTGTTATTGTATTTATTACACAATTTACACATGTTATATATACCTATCCACATGTTTTATTTACCAGAACTATGCAAGTAAGCCGGTATTGTGTCCAAACAGTACAGTGGCCACCATACACTGCATGACAAATCACACAGCAGACAGCAGACGACGCCACGATTATGACGTCGCCTCCCTCACCAAAATAGCTCCTCACAACATACTTCTGGTGCTGTTATTACACTATTCCACACACACTGTATATACCCATGTACATGTGTGTTCCCCATTGCGAACCACGAAACTAGTATGGTGAGCAAAACATGAGTTACTGCCACACAGTGAGGCTGCCTCAATTCTCTCCCTTCCTCCCTCCCTCACCAAAATTCCTCCTTCCTACGCACAATGCTCATTATAACCACAATCCTGGTCACTAATACTTGTAAATAAATAATTGACCACAAGTTTATTTTGAAAAGGAACCTAAATAGTCGTTTGAAGGTTCCTACATGGACGAAATAATGCTGTGGTGCCGTGGCTAGCGCTGTGAACATCGTGAACAGCATTGAATCACTGATATTTGAACATTGTACCAGTCATTATCACACTCGGGCTCTTCTATAATACTATCATGGCTAAATAAAACAGATTATATATATATATATTGACAATATTAGGCGATGCTGTGGTCACACGCTGAACAGCAGTGCTGTGTGCTCATGCTGCGAGTGCCAGCCTTGGTTGCTCACTCACTACTGAGGCTCTGGCACCCAGCAATGTGGACCATGATTTTTTTTAAAGATGGCGTCTGTTTACAAGAGCCCTGAGGAAGCTGATGTGAACCTCATGTAGCCGGGGGAGTTTTGAATGGAATGTGACAAATAAAAACACCCGGAGGCGCGTTGCGCACCTGAAGCCTGGGCCTGCAGGCGCGTTGCGCAGTTAAAGGGTTAAGCATTTCCGTTATTTTTTCCTTGTTTTATGGTGTCGTCTGCGTTCTTTCTACGTTGGACCTCTTTCTGGCTTTCCTCAAAGGAACATGTTTCAGTTACCTATTGTACCTATTCTGTTACCTACTGTATTAGGTAATGAGCTGCTCACCACCTTACCACCACCAGCTGGCAGTACTATGCTAGTAGCTACACAGCAGGATCAGAGGAGCCAGCGGCCCCACTTAAATCCCAGTCCCACCCACACAAGCTCAGAAATTAGGGACGTGAAGGGTGGGAACAGGCTCAGTTGATTAGTGCTCAGGAAGTCTCTTCATATCACTCAAAATCCTATTTCTGAGCAAGGCATCGTCAGTTGTTCCACAAGCCACCTAATTACCCATGGAACAATCTACAAAATGAAGGCAAAACTTGGAAACTTTCTTGAACTAACTCTATAATGCATAGAGAAGTTATGTAATACATGTAATTACTAGAAATTTCTACTATATTCGAATTAGGCTTAGATTTTCTGCAATTCTTTTTGGAACTACTGGTCTTTTTCTAGACATGGATGAACCATTTTGTTAGGAAAATATTTATTTTGAAGATGTTTCTAATAGGGTGGATTTTGGAGGTTGCCCTGTACCATATAACGTTTCATCATAATTGTACTGTAATTATATTTGTATTTTTAAATTCATCATAATTGCAATGGATGAAAGTGATGCAAGGTACTCTTTCAGAATCCGACTTATACGGTTGCTTCAAAAATGTGCATGGGTTTTGTATTTATATACTGTATATATTTCTTCTAAGTCTTGTTGCCTTATTGTAAACTGTTTGAAAACTGTTGTCAGTATTAGAGAGGTAGTGAGGCCCTTGCCATCCCTACCCTACTGTCCTTTCACATTAGTACACAATAATCTGGGCTCCAAACACTGCAAATGTTTGCAGTGTTTGCAAAAAAACCACCCATCATTATCTTCTATATAAAATAGTATAGAGTGAAGTACAGTATCATAGTATTTGATGAGATGTGTCAAGGAAGACCCACCACTATAAGCAGGGCTTTGTTCTCACACAGTAACTACTAATACAGAATTAGACATACAAGCACCGTGCATAAGTATCCACTAGGAAAATTAAATAAATCTTGAACATTTTTGTGTTGCATCACATTATCAAGGAAAAACCGAGAAAAAAACATGGTTTAGGATTGTACACGCTACACCCGAGTAGATTAAGATCCATAAACCATGTTATTGATTAATGGAAGTGACATGAAGTTGGGATGATTTACCGAATGATCAAGAATGAGGGAATATCCAGTTATTCATCCCAGCTTCATATCACTTCCATTAATTGATAATTTGTTTTTTTATGGATAATAATCTACTCAGGTGTAATGTTCTTGTATAATCCCAAACCTTGGTCTTCTATGTCTGTTTTTCCTTGATAATGTGATGAAATGAAAAAGTTCAGAATATTTGTTTAATTTTCCTAGTGTATATTTATGCATAGCTGAATCATGTGTTTTTGTGATTATTCTTGCATAAAAGCAATGTATGTACATCTGTACATACACCAGCTATGATGTACATACAATGTACTGTATGCATGTACAACACGGCTGGTGAGAGAGCTATTGCGCATGTACCATGTACTTCCTACAGGTTTCATCTGCTAATATGCTTATGGAAGTTATTGATTACTTTGCAGAAATGCACCAGGTATATAAACAATTGATATAGAATTTTATGTAAATAATTAATGTAGATGTTTGCAACAGCCCATACATGAGTGCAGACATGGAGAAGATGGCTACAGCTTTCAATACTACAATTTCTGCATTAGAAGATGAGTTAATGGCTCTAATACTAGATGGGCAAATCCAGGCTCGGATAGACTCGCATAATAAGGTGAGTTTGCTTTATATTTTTAAGTAATGTTTAGTGTGGATACCAGTTGAATGAATGGTACAAGCAAGTCAGAATTTTGAAAATTATAATCTTCATATCTGTGAAAAGGGTACAATATTTAGTCCATGTTTCTTGGGAGTAAAGAGAACACATTCACATGTTGAAACCATGAGTAAGTTTATAATATAACAGAAAACATAATTCTTGCCCAAATGGTATTTTTTGGTCCTCTTTAGAAGATGGTACAGTTATAAAAGTAGGAAAATGTGTTGTTGGTGAGGTGCTGAAGTACTCGGGTTACTGAAACCTGATGGTTAAACTTTGTATGCTAACCAGTAGCTGTCCACACAATGCATCTTTTGGGGGTGTAGTTACGGTCTGTGTTGTAGAGCCTGTGGCTACATCTGTAAATACAACATAAATGACTGTAATGTGATGTTATTCCTTTGCAAAGCCAATTTCTTTACCTGATAATTCAGTAGTATTGTACCTAATTAAATCATACATGAAAATAAAAAATGGCTGCCATTTTTCTGTGATGACTTGAATGTCTGTCATACAATTTTTGTAGGACTAAGGTGCAAGTTATATGGATATCATCTACATATCCCCAAAGTTCCTGTTTGCCATTTTAAATGTTGAAGCTAACCCAAGTAAACTTTAATGTTGTGATATATTTGGATTTGCTTACTTTTGGGATAGAAGTATCTTCTCTCCCGTTTAAGTTGTATTGGGTGTTCTTTCTTCTCCATTTGGCTCACATTCCTCTTGAACCTATTTGGTCATCAGATAAGGTTATGATATTTGTCTTACCCTCTGTTTCGCTGTTTCTTGTTTCGTTTTGTTGAAAGACTCCTTCAAGACGGCATTTTTGTTAGATTAGGTTTTTGACAGTTTTATTACCATGCTTCCTGCTCTTCACCAGAAGAAATGGTTTTGTTTTCTTAACACTTTCGCGCACCCCGCGCGCCACCCCTCGACAGGGCGATATGGGCCCCAGCATGTCACGGAAGCGCGCGTTAATTCCGAAAAGTGTATACTCTCTTCAACTTTGTCACCTCAATTTTCGTTCTACGAGATTAAAATTGGAATCATGGTGTTCGCAATAAAATTCTCTACAGCACTAAATGCATATAAACTCCAAAAGCCCGGATAATTACCCGCAGCAAGCAGAGAAAGTGCGAGCGAGTTACCCGGGAGCGCGCAAACCCAATAAAATGTTTTCACTATTTTCACTCTGGTCACCTCAATTTTCGTCCTAGGTCTTTCATTTTGGTCTCAATGGGTTCGTAATAGAATTCTCTAGAGGAATATTAGCATATAAAAAAAAAAACCTGGTCACGCTCCAACCGCCGACGAGTTGAAGACGGGCTACGCGTTAGCCGTGAGTGAGCGCTCAGACGCCTTCCCGCTACACTCCCAATTCCCGCCCACATATGTTTAGTATTATTTCCTGGTGGTAATCTCAATTTTCGTGTTACAGCGCTCATTTAGGTATGAAAATGTTCCTAATAGAATTCTTCAGATGGATATGTGCATATAAGGGCCAATTGAAGAACAACATTGCCTATACAATACGGGAAAGTATGAACAAAAAAAAAATAAATAAATAATAAAAAAATTTGCACTTACCACCTCAGTGTTGTGTGTTGAACATGACATGGGTTGAACATTTGTTTTATCCACTCCACCTGCTCCTGGAAAACGTTTCCTGCAGGGTCAACCCATGTTTTGTATAGGTGGAGTGGATGGTGGGAGTTAGTCTCACATGCTTATACTTCTCCTGTACACTACTCAGCTTCTGCTTTTCACGCCTTTCTTTCGCAATTTTCTTTCTGGAAGGGCCTTGTTCGTGATCACTATCCATCGTGGAGTAAGCGTAGATAGTTTCTGAAGCCGCAGTAAGAAATATAGCCACGGAAAATAGTCGAAATGTTCACACGTTTGAGACGCGAGGGGAGGCGACACCGGTCACAACAGTGGAGCGAAAACAATGGGCCGACGGCGTGTGCCGCGTCGCCTGCGGGCCACTAGGCACAACAAAGAAAATGGGAAGACATCGGCGCGCATTTTAAAACCAGTCCCCAAAAAATCGGATAAAAACCTGATTTTTGGCAAATTTTTAAAGTGGATGACGCAATGCTGCGTCATCCCCGGCATTACCGCCAGTAAACGGATGACGCAATCCTGCGTCATCCCCGAGCGAAAGTGTTAACATGGTGTATTCTCCCACATCTCCAGCCTTAGCCATTAATTTTAGCTGGAAGCAAGTCTTCCATTTACTGAAGGAATAACTTTGTCATTGACGTTTGGTTTGTCTGGCCAAAGGTTTATTAGCCGCATTGTCCTCTGCCGTTTTGGGCCATTATCTGCATGCTACTCGCATTTGTAGGGTCGATGCTCGTTTTATAGATCCTTGCTCATTGATTGATTGTTCCAATTCCCAGCTCTCCTAAGTTACCAAGAGGGTTGTTTGATTCAGCCAACTAAATGTTTATCCTTGTACTCATGATGTGTGGAAGTTTTCAATCATTCTGATTTTCTTTGCAAATGCCTACTGCTAATAGCAGTTTTTGGTGGTCCAATATGGTGTTGGCTGCCTATTACTTACTGGATAGTCTGGGTTGCATCTGAGCTTTTGTGATATTTGGGTGGGTGGCATTTTGCTGATGTGTTCTACCTTCCTGAACCCTGCCCTGGTCTTTTGCCTACTCGTGGTAAGGAAGCCCTTGTCTGTCTTTCTTTTTTCTTAATCCTGTGTTTCTTTTCAGCAAATAAATTCTTCTCTCCTAGGCACCATTGTAAGTAAGCACTGGGGAGTTACTGAGGGGAGCCAGCACAGAAATAGAGCACCGAGTGCCGCTTTTTGGCCAGTTCCTACGTAGTTCCCTTCTTCCCAGTATGTTTAAGTATGCTTTGTGCCACACATGGTAAGGATCATGTGCTGTGGACCAGGATCACTTATGACCTAAGCTGTCATATGGTAGCAGTCACAGGAACTGGAGCAAAGTTGGTTTACTTGCTGCCAACTTGCATTTGCATTGTTTCTTAATTTTCTTTCTTGTTAAGAACAGTGATTTATTTTCTTTTGTGTCTAACATTCTGACCAGTTTTCTTGGGTTTTGGTTGATCTAAGATCTCCAAGCTTCCTTTGCCTCTATGAACCAGATTCTGATAGTGGTTTCCATTTGGCCACAGAAGTCAGGGATGTTTGGCAAATTTTGGGATAGTTATGTAGTTCTCTGATAACATACATAAACTAAATTGATGGTCTTCATTTTCCACACCAAAATAACATGGAAATCTTGTATTTTAATATTTCGGGCAAATGTTGATAATGTGGGGTACATATGAATTCTACCTCTCTTGCATATGCATCATAGGAATCAGATAGAAATTGTTACTTATCTACATAGAAAATTGATTCTGTTCAAAATGAATTACCAAAGTAAAGCATACTTGGCTGCTGCCAAAAGCCTCAAGTAACTAAACCCATTATATAACATGAGGATTCAACTAATCATTGGAGTGGTTTAATCCACACCTAGCTGTTTCCATGCAGAAGCAGGTATTCCAGGTTTTCAGCATTACAAAACGAGAATAATATTTTCATTAGATATAACGTACAAGAATTCTCTTGCGGGTTCTCCTTTTTCACCAGCAAAATGATCCTATTAAAATGAGCAAAAGCTTATTTTTGTACACAAAAACTTGTTCTCTACATTGTTGTCAGCACTTTGGGGTGACAACAGGGTACATGCCAAGTCATGTACCAACTGTACCAACTATGGGAGCCGGTCGGTTGAGCGGACAGCACGCTGGACTTGTGATCCTGTGGTCCTGGGTTCGATCCCAGGTGCCGGCGAGAAACAGTGGGCAGAGTTTCTTTCACCCTATGCCCCTGTTACCTAGCAGTAAAATAGGTACCTGGGTGTTAGTCAGCTGTCACGGGCTGCTTCCTGGGGGTGGAGGCCTGGTCGAGGACCGGGCCGCGGGGACACTAAAGCCCCGAAATCATCTTGAGATAACCTTAAGATATGCCAAGTCATGTACCAACTTGACTTGATATGCCAAGTCGACCACCTTGGCATATCTGCACGTTTGCAGTAAAAGTAAGAAATTGTAATATTTCTAATCACTCGGACTCCAAAAGAACAACAAAAGAACCTAAAACAACAACTCCAGCAATAATGGAAATGAGGATAATGTTTACACAGATGGTCCCCCAGATCCTTGATGGCAGGGAATTAGAAGCCATCTGTACAGGTGTAAACCAAGGAAAATGTTGTAAGAAATAGTTAATATATTCACAGTAGTTATATGCCATACTACTAGCAACAACAGCCACAATAATCACATTGTATTTGTCCTCACACTAAATAAACTTGCAGCCTTAGAGAAATACAGTTTAACATTCTATAGTAGTAGTATTAGTAAAAATCCAACAGTGATTTTTCGGAACATATAGTAAACACAAAGCAGGTCACGTGTCGGTGCAAAATCATTTAACTTAAATGTACTGGACACAGAGGCCAAAATAAGTTTAGCCATCTCTACATTAAACAAAAATTTACCCTGTACAGATTAACCTGCAGCCATTAACAAACTATGAATAGGACACTGGTATAACAAAATAAACCACAATAGGCATAAACTTGTATTAAGCCAACCATCTCCCCATGGTCTATTTTTGCACGGAGAAATTGTTTGTGGGAGTTTGTGTTGGCTAGACTAAGACTTCAGCATACACCACTAATGCAAGGCCACTGAATGGAAGTAAAACCAAGCATGTGAAGTATACAGTGAAAAGTGATTGTGCAACACAATAATATCAATGACAGACATGTGAAATACAATTCAAAGAATATGTTCCTTCTGGCATAATCAATGTAACATACACTGTTAATTAATCAGAAGTATTTCACTTGAAGAATTATATTTTTTAAACACAAGCCCAATAAATAATGTATGACGAGAAAAATTGATGTTCGTGCAGTCTCTCTAGAGCACATGGAATGCCAATCATATAAAAAAAAAAAAAAATTAGGCTGCTGTTTAACTTCACTGTGTGACAGCTGTAGGATAAAGCACAAAAGAGAAAAAACATTTAAGAATACTTAACTTATTAATAATGACTTTAAACAAATTACAAAACAAAAAAATAATATCCAAGCTTAGTTTGATACAAAGAGTGCAAAGCAAACAAAACAACAAACAATTAAATTTACGTTACGTTAATGTGGAAATAGAATATGATGCTAGAATACTGTGAGCTAGACTGCATAAACCTGCTACCACACAGAGATATGTCAACAGCTCTACTTAGTAGAGCACTCGGGAGTAATCTAAATCGTGGTGGTTGCTGGCTTCTATTTATATGGAACGATGGCTGTTCAGGTGGCGCTGGTATTGTCGATAACTAGGAACCGGCTCACTTTAACTGTTTGTTTCAGAAGTATTGTGATCCTGAGGCGTCACCAGGTGCTAGGAGGGTGACAGGCCGTGGGGGAGGTAGACTGGTGATACTGTCTAGGCGTTTTGAGAGGTGGTGGTGTTGCTCTTGTGGCTGCAGTTCTTGAATATATAGACGTGGTACGATAGAATAGGTGATGATGGAGCAGACCGAATCTCTTCCTAGAGAGATTACCATGACAAATGAATAACAACCACTTGATAGTACTTACTGAGAATAAGTAAGAATAGGGGCAAGTGCCTCACTAGTAATAAAGCAGTTTAAGATATATCTTGTTTCTCTTCACAAAAGCTTACAAAAGTATCAATTTGGTAATCAGGTAGCAAAACTATATACCTGAATACCTAAATCATCCTTTTTGCTTTCCTATAATTTTGACAAATTAAGATAAAAGAATTATTCACTAATTTTCTCTCAATTCTGCAATTTCAGATCTTGTATGCCAAGGCAGTAGAAGAGAGGAGTATGACTTTCGAGCGGTCACTGGAGATGGGTCGTGAGCACATCATGAGGGTGAAAGGCCTTATCTTGCGGTCAGCACTTATCAAGAATCAGATTCATGTTAAGAGTCCGCCACGGGAAGGAGGAGGAGGGGGTGGGCAAGGAAGTGGAGATGTTACTATGGCAGCTACTAACAGTTCTGCAGCTGCTCCAAGGAACTAAAATATACATGCCAGTGTCCAGGCTGTGTTAAAACTAGATCTGGGCTGAGTTTCAATCCATACGTTCAGTCCACCGTGTGCGCGCCACAAGAGACGAGACTCTGCAAAACTTGCTCATTTGAGTTCTATATCTGCAGTGATCTACTGTACAAGTCATTTCTTGTTGATTGTGGCAAAAGATACATGTTTGTGAGATTTTTCACTGGTGACAGTTTTGCAGGAGTTCTATGACACTCTTGCTTTATTTGAAGCATGATCCAACATAACATCCAAGTGTGCTTAGTCCTTTTTTTTTTATGTGGTGATCACTGACTCGTGAACACTAGCAGATGAACCTCAGGTCTGTGAATTATGTATATCTATGCTATTTACTTGGTGTTCGTTATACCATATTGTATAGTAAAACACAACCGAGAAAACTTCAAGTGCTCACATAAACTACAGTGCATCCTTCAAGTGAATAGCCAAAGCAAAAAATCAAGATTTAAGTTGCAGCATTTGTGACTTGCCACCTAAGTTGTTTTCTCTCCTGTACTGTGATGAGCAGTCTTATTATTTTCTACTGCCTATAAGTTGACTTTTAATTGAAAGTGATGCATTTGAATTGCAACATTATAGTGATGAGTATCCAGTAGTGTTGGAGTCTCAATAAATAGCTTTCTTTTGGTTTTATGTACAATTACAAAAAAGCAAAGGTGACAGTGAAATGCAGCTTTTGACTATTATTGTCACCCAATGCGCATGTCACAAGTGCTGCTACTACAACATTATAATTGGTTATTCATGTGTTCTTCTGTAGCTTGTGTTTATAGCTCCTATTACCTGTTGCCTATTTATTACGTTTGAAAACAAGATTTTGGTATTTATCCATCATGCACAGACCAAGCCACTAGTCTAGACTTTTAAGTCCATTTTGTTTACTGAATTTGAAAGAGTTCAGCCGGAGATACAAGGTTGTCATATTCTGTAACTTTTGTTATTTTATGATGCAGCAAGTACATATATTTGCTAGTAAGAAATGCAGTGTTCCTAAGAATTTTGCAGTTGCCTTGGAAGTTACAGTGGCCGGTTAAAGGGTTTTTACTCTTCAGTGTAATGCTTTGAGATTCTTGATCACAGTGTTTGCACAGGAGACCATACATAGTGTATTACCCCAATGACTTGCTGATTCACTGTTATGCACCCTATAGCAAGGTTGGCCAAGTACCTTCAAAGTCTATGGATATCAGATTTTAAATAACTCAAAAAATTTGTTTGAGAGATTTATTTCAGCCAAATAATCTTTGCTCTTGCATCAGCACTGCTTCAGGCTTGCCACCAGTGTATTTGCCACAAGAAGAGCAGCAGCATCTCACTTTAACGAATATAAATCATCTTCAAGATCCAGTCACAAGATGAGAAGTGGTCATGAAGGAGAAATAGAAACTTCTCCATCCATTGTATTCATCATGCAAACCTTGACTGTGGGCTGCAGTGTTGATAAAGAGTGGCTGGGAAAAAAGGTGATTTTCTATTGAGAATAGTAAAATAATAACACTATGACCAGAGTTTCTCTTACCTATATTTGATGTTCATTAAATAGAAATAAATCTGCATTGATTGAGCTAATAGTTGTCATTTCATTGCACAATTGTATGTTTGTCTTAAAATAAACATTTTATTTAGAGTATATTGACTAATACATTGTCAAGCTGGGGTTTCATGCAGTATTTTGTGCAACTAGTAAAAACAAAATTCTAGCCGCTCTTCATTATTGTTAAATTGCTCATTTGGTGTTCCCAATAAGGATTCCCCGTAGTTTTTTTTAATACAGGTTTCTATTCGGTATCTTCACTGTCCTATTGATTTCAAATGGAATACTGAACTTATGTATAGCAATTTGTTTTTACTGCTGGATCTGTTCTTTCTTTGTATTGTATTCGGTAAATTCTTTATTATATTAAAATTAGTCTTTAAATACTTTTAAACAGTCTTATAAAACTAATATAACTTTTGTTGCTCACCCCCTCGCCATCCTCCCAAACCCCTGATAACCACAATCAACCATCGCCTCCATCACAAACATTACCTCTACTGCTTCCATCTTCTCCAATGATGGTCGATCCTAGGACTGTTACTATTTCTGGTCTATAAATAATCGTACATAAGGAAATGAGCAAAGACATTTCAGTGTTCACAACTGAGGAATATGAAAATTGATGACTAGCTCTGCTGAGAGACCTTGACAGACTTCAGCGATAGGTTGACAAATGTATGCTCGAGTTCAACCCTAACAATTGTAAGGTGATGAAAATTGGAAAGTAAGACAGGAGACGAGTAGAAATTCATACCATATGGGAAATGCAGCTACAGGAATTTGAAAAAGAGAACGAATTGGGAGTGGATATACAATAGTCTATAAATATTTAGACTGGGAAACGATGTTTGCTTTGGATCTGCACCCCAGCACATTAGATTTGTAATGAAACATTGCCAGTGAGGTTAAAGTGCAGACTTGCACCCTTTTTTTTTCTGGGGCGACTCAGATCGCTACCATTGCAGCAAAAAGGAATATGATCAGTAACATTATAGCCACAACTTGATCACCCAATATCCAGATTATAAATGTTATTCTTTTCCCAACTCCATTAAACTCTAGTTATTTGGTAAACTAAACTAGTTCTGCTGAAAGCCCTTTAGGACAATACATATTAGACTATTAGGATAATACAGATTTTGGTTGTGATTTTCTTAATATTGTACAGTGTGTTGCCTTCATTTGTGACATTTGTGCACTGTACTGTATTAAAAAAAATATATATTCGGTTACATAATTTCTT